CTTCTCAGCACATGGCTATTTAAGGAAGGCATGGAAGCCATATTCTTCCATAATTACAGCTTGACATGCGAATCGGTGGATTTTTCGTACGCGCCGTATGCTCTAAGAGTATGTAAATACTCTCTTGCATATTAAATGTATCCCTAAGTTTTCACCGAGTTCTCAATTAGCTAACAATTTACCCTCGACATTTGTTTCATTCATAACTTGAAAGAAAACGTTATATACATATGTTATTTTATCATCATCCCGGCTTGAATGTAAAATATTTTCATTCGTTTGAGACAATGCGAATATTGTAATTAAATTTTTCTAGCGCGACAGAAAGAGAGAACGGAATGGAATGTCTGCTAATTATATCTTCATCCGCTTGCGCGATATTTGTTTTAGGTCGCAAGAGACGTTTACATTTATTTTCTGGCGAAACTCACAGAGCTCCTCGACACGGTGTTCTTCGTATTGCGCAAGAAGGAGAAGCAAATCACATTTCTTCACATGTACCATCATACCGTGATGCCAATGATATCGTGGGGCGCTACAAAGTATTATCCCGGTGGCCATGGCGTCTTTGTAGGTACGTTAAAATAAATAAGTAATATAATGCATCGAATTTCTTCTTTTCTGGTAATGTTACTTGTACATGTTCGCCGCCGGCTTCAATTGGATCGAGATCACATATGTGGATTCAACATGTGCTTTCTTTACAGGAATTATAAATAGCTTCGTGCACATCATCATGTACACTTATTATCTACTGGCAGCATTGCTACCTCACCATCAGCATAAACGGTATCTCTGGTGGAAGAAATACATTACCAACCTACAAATGGTACGGAGCAAATAAATCGACATTTAATCGATGAATCTGGTTTCCAAAAAACTGCCATTTTCTTTTACAATTTGCACCAATCATTTTATCTTAACAAATTATTTAATCCACAATTAACTGATTGTTTCTATCTTTGTTCAACAGACCCAATTCTGTATCGCCTTTATACACAGCTGCCTATTGTTGTTCTACGATTGCGACTATCCGAAATGGTCGGTCGTTCTGGTGCTGCCGAACGCGATGTTCTTCTATTTCCTGTTTTCGGACTTCTACAATAATGCTTATGCTTCCAAGAAGGAAAACGACGGCGCAGCGCCGCCGTCGATTCAGAACTCGACCAAAGCGAACGGTGCCGTGGAGAAAGTGAGCAGCCACAAGATACCGAACGGAAAAGGGAAAAGCGACTAAACGGGTACAGCCGAGGAAAGAGACGATGCGATCGCAATGAGACGGTCACTACCATTTCACTTGAATCGCACCGCAGTCTCTAACCCGCTAATCTAGCCGACGTATTACGGCTGCGGAACGTTCCACGCTGAGGAACGTTCAACGCGCCGTAAAAAAGACAACGTAAACCAAAACGCAGAGGCGACCGGACATTTGCGCAAACTGAAACACATCTGACTATTCAACGGTTGAACTTTCAAGCCTTTTATACAAACGGAAGCGATCCATTCATTATACGTATCTTCTTGTACGATAACGGAGTTATATCGAACAGCTAAGTCGTCGAGGATACAATGCATGCATAATTAGCGTGTAGGATACTTAAATCGTCGCATTTTATATATGGTGATTTAAGTGGAGAAATAATGAAAAGGTTAATGCATTCTGTTTGCCTCTATTTATATTATTTATATATTAATAATTTTAAATGATACGGAATATCTTGCAGCCTGTTGA